GCTCAGTGGTGGGAACAGTTGTGGTAGACATGTTGAAGTTTGTCGAGGGGAAGGGAGGTTTGGGCAAGGTTTGGTGCTGTGTGTTGAGCAGTGAGTGTTTGAGTGAGTGATTGACAAGGAGATTTGGACATGAGAGCATCTCACATCCCATCTTTATAGCTTTGGAGCGTGCTACAGAGCAAGCTGTGCGCCCATCATGAGCAGTACTTGCCTTGTTGACCCACAGGTAGTCAAGTGTAGCTCTTGTGCTTGGTAAGAGGAGCGTCACTGGCCCAAAGAAGACCCTTTGCTACATGTAACAAGCCTTGTCTGTAGTGAAAGACAAGAAGACTTGATGCGTATAGTGGTGCAGCCACGCCTGCGTACCAGCAGTAGCACGCTCATTGTCCCTCCACAGGCTCATCTTGGAGATCTTGTCACCGCTTGCAGGTATTTGTTCTGGCAGATCTAATTTGACTATGTCAAATGCCCCTACTACACCTTCCCAACGGTGCCATTTGTAGCCCATTTGGCAGCATGCTCACCGCACACCAGCAGGTCAAAGTGTTGGTGCCAGGGACAATGAGCGGGCTGTGAGCAGTACGCGTCACTGCTTAGGCACAAAAAGCGCACGTAGAGTGGTGCAGCCACACCCGCACAACTAGACAGACGCGCTTGTTGTCCTTGCACATGCCAATTGTTGAGTGCTTGTCACCGCTTGCAGGCCCTTGTTCTAGCACATCTGTCTTGACTATGGCAAATGCCCCTATCAAAACTACCCAGTGAACGTCAGAACAAGACAATTGGTGAACAAAAGCCTTCACAGTGAGGCCTCAAAGTGTTGGTGCCAGCGCACCTGTTTGATGAGAAGTTGACGCACATCACTCTTGGATTGTGCGCATGTTCTGTGCTTGCTGAGGCACCATCTGAGCAAGCAAATTGCACCTCACAAAATGCCCCTATCACAGCTTTCTGACAGTGTAATTGGTATCTTATTTGGTAGCATGCTTGCCGCACACCAGCCTGTCAAAGTGTCGGTGTCAGGGACAATGAGGGGGTGTGAGTGATGTTTGGCGCGCAACAAAGGCGTGACGGCCACCACTGCAGGCTGGGGTGCGGCGTACAAATTGATGCGTGCAGTGGATAATTTACGCGTAGCGCGCGCGCCTGCATGGCCATATGGGGCGCGCGCCCGTATGGCAGAGCACGCGTCCATATGGCAGAGCACGCGTCCGTATGGCAGAAATCTGTCTGCGCACTTTTACGGCGTAAAATCTTCAAAATCAAGGTCCACGGACATCTGGACGCGTCTTTTTGGCAGGGTGCGGTCTAGTTTACGGCGTAAAATCCTGGACTTATACCAGTAGGTTAGGTGGACCTCACGCCATCAAACCTGTAGGGTTTTGGGCGCTGCTTCACCAGCTGACTTCCCTCAGGCCTCTCTAGATGCTTATAACACAAACTCCAAAAACCCTATTCCACCACCCCTTGTAACCCTAACCCTAACCCTAACCCGTCACGTCCTGCAGCACTGGCCAGTGCGTGTGAAGCTTGGGATAGGCAGGTCCGTTGAGAAAGGCAAGGTTCAAAAACTGGGGTGCAAGGCCCGTACCCTTGGCCTGGTCTTTGAGTGCCAGCATTTCTTGATACGAGCCCATGGAGGCCAACCAGCTAAACTTGCCTCTGCGGCTGTGAACGCCAGATAATCCCATCATGTTGCGGATAGCTGTGACACCCATTCCTCCTCGGAATGCAGCAAACCAGACAGCTGCCCAGTGCGCGACGTGATCAGAAGTGCACAAGACAAGAAAGGGCTCATGGCCTCAAAATCCAGAGGGCCCATGTTCCTTGGCCCACTGCTCAGCTCTAGCCATGTCTTGGAGAGGAAAGGCGAGGTGGGTCAGAGATGCTGATGCTGATGAGGATGCAGTAGACCGCGCTCATAGGTGGTGGCCAGAGTCAGCTTCTGATGTGGCAAATGCAAGAGAGGAGCTGGGAAAAATGACTGCCTGATTTCGATAGACCTTAGCTGCAGAGCCAAGGCCCATCCTCAACTTTTTTGTCCCGCAATCAAGGGACGGTGTTGGTGAATGAATGCTGCTGCCAGATGCCGAGTCAAAAGGACTTTCTCGCTGCAGACCGCTTTACTGGAAGCTTCTGCGCGGAGCTGGAGTGCGTGGCAAAGCCAAAGGCTGCAGAGCCCGCCCTGTTGAAGTCTGTGGTGCAGCCGTTGCTGTCTCTGTTGCCTTCTCCATCTCCTTTGCCGTTGTACCTGCAGAGTCCACCTGCATGTTCTCTGCACAAACAGCATAGCACTGTCATCTCCACTTCAGTCGTGAGTACTCAACCCCGTCTGTGGTGCCCACAATGGTGCTCAACGCTCTTCTCTCTCGCGGGTTATGACCATTACAAACGTAAGCTTGTTCTCGAAAGCCTATTGACGGCTCGTGCTCTTCTGAAGAGAGGACTGACCGATGGTACGGGCGTGTCGGAGTGAGGGCCTGAGTGCAAGACCCTCACATGTGCATTTCTCACAAGAGCGGATCGACTGAGAAACTACCCTGCAATCAGGGATGACAAGGCCTTCTCGTTTGGTTTAGGGTTAGGATAAACCGCTCACAAACTATCTCTACTATCAAGATGTATCGATGATGGCATTGCTCGAGCGCTTTGGCTACTGCAAACGCTTGACCTGCTTTGACAAAGAATCGCAAATCTGTGCAACCCCGCAGGAAGGACGGCCAAAGCGTCGGTCGCCCTCTTATCCAATCAAGAGTCGGTGGCCACAAACTTCCAGCCAGGGTACGTCTGACCGAGAGCCGTGATAGTAGCTGCTCCGTAGTCGGCATCCGTCCTGTCAATTTGAAGAGTGGACGTCTCATTTGGTGCAAATCACACTCGTCGTCGACCCTTGAAAACTCACGACTTGGAGCCGCACATGGCTAGCAAGGTTGTGTCACCCTGCAAACGAAAATAAGTGTTGACGGGATCGTGATCACCAAAACCCGCCGCTGTTTTTCCGCAATTGGCCTCAAAGATTTGTCTCTGCGAATCAGGCGGAAAGCTTTGTGGTTGACTGGTTACTTCTGCGCGAGCAGACATCCAGACTAGGCGTCAGCAGCTCGTCTCGAAGAAGACGATGTATCTTGTGCGCAGCTCACTCACTCCATATGATGACTGCCTGACTTTGCGAGATGATTGCGCCAAGGATGAGCGAGACGAACAAGAATGCTGGACAAATGATGCGTGGCATGACGACTGTACTTTCTTTGTGTTCGGTTGGAACTCGGATAGCGAGGCGGTCATGGCCAGGAAATTCATTCAAAAGGGATCTTTCATCGAGCTGAAAAGTGCAGTCTCTTATAAGATTCGCTTTTCGAGACGCGAAGCGCGATTTTGCCTGACTCGCTGCCACGTAGACGGGCGAGCCGAGACTGAGACCCTGCCATGGTTTTTGAATCGGCTGCTTTAGGGTCGCTGGCTTTCGCTCTGGAAATTTGCACCAATGTCGCATTGCAGACAACAGCTTGGTCGCTCGTATCATAGACCCTTGATTTCTTTCATAACGCGAGGTTCGGACCTTGGGCGAGCAGCGACATTGGATTGTCTTCAATTTTGACTGCCCGGGCCCGTCAGACGTGACCCGTCACCCCCACAAATTAGTCATCGACGGGCCGATCGTGCCTTATTAGGTCGCGCCAGGCGGGTGTAGCCTTGGCATGCAGATTGCCCGACTGGTCGCTCGCCTATTGTATAACTGCGCGCTACCGATGCTTTCGTTTGGCTGTGCATCACAATCACGGGCCGCTCTTGGGCTCTTTTGTCGCCATCCTCGTGCAGTATGCCGATGGACGCGGTCGCGTCAGAGGTACGCAAGCAGAGAAGAGCCGTGTCAGGCCCAAGGCAAAATCGGACATGTTACTCGCCCCATGCACGAGCATCGCTCGTCTTCAAACACGCTGAACCTGAGCATAGAGATGTGGATACGCGCAAAGCAGAATCATCGGACTTCTCCACCTTTAGCAAAGCCGCTGGACGAAAATTCAGGGACGCAGGGCTGGCAAGGCGCACAAGCACATTCATATTCTCCATACCTCCCCTCGAACGCTTGAAAGATCATGCATTCACATGTGGTCAACTGCCGTGCCCCTTTTGGAGATCGATTGTAACGTGCGGTCTTTACTTTTGTGACACCTTTCCGATTCCCACAAAGCCAAGATTCGACATGTCGAAAGTGTCAATCGAGCGACCGAGGTACCTCTAAAACTCCCTCAGGCGGACATGCGTGGGATGTGGCGGTCAGCTGCTTCTGCCAAGGCCCTCAATCCGAGGTGACTTCAAATCCCCAACCAGGATACTGGCCCTCGAGGATCGTTCTCGTAGCGGGTCCATACTCGGTGTAAGCTCTGCGAAAAAGTATACGCGCGTTGTCACATCGTTGCAGGAATCTCGGAATCAACCGCTCGGTAGCGTTACTTACGGTGCTCCAGTGTTGCAAAAAGCATATATGCCGCCATTTGCATGGGCGTACTGGAGCAGTGCTACCGTTGGCTGTCCTGCAAGTGTCTGACACGTCGAGGTCCACACTTTGACTTGGCCGTCGAAGTTCAGCCCGGGTGGCTCGTGAGTCACTCCTGGCGTGGCGCGGTCTGGTCAGCTTTGAAGGTCCAGCAAGGGCCGAGCAAAGAGGTCGACGTTTCACTCACTGTACTCCGTGTAGATGGTCTGGCCGGCGCAAAAGCTCAAACCAGCAAGAGCCGTTGCAAAGAGAGGATTGGTAAGAAAGACCTTCATTTCGAGTGCTGAAAGGGATGAGCAGCGAGATGGTGAGGGGCAGGAGGTAGGCTAGCTTCGGTTTCGAGCACGAGTCCACTGCCAACAATTGCTGACGCTTTATACCCTTATCACTGCAACGCGCTTGCATTCGGAAACAAAGTGCCGAATTAATCAGTATTAAAGGCGCTCGCGGCCGGAGGTTCACGTCCTTACTAAATGATCGCGCCATTATTGCAGCCACCGGGACCCGAGTAGGTCTGAGGCCGAGCCGGGTAAATTTCGAATAGTCTGCGTCTGCAGTGATGGCATCTGGCTGATGCCCAGGCTGCCCTGTCAATGGCTGTAGTAGCTTTGGCACATTTGTGCACTGACTCGGACATATGCCGCGCACCTGAGCTGAGCGTGGTCTGCGCCTTGGCAGACGGAGGTCAACATCAACCAGTAGGATGTGTCATGGTGGCTGCCTGTGTAATCATCGCCAAGGCCACGCGGGTCTTTTTGTCCGCACCTTCAACATCCGATGCAGCCATGCCATTGCTCGCGATACACGCATGTTGCACTGCTCGAGCCGCATGGCTAGTTGACATTGCAAGGAAAGTGTTTGGACCGACACGAATCACATGACGCTCCAAGCTCAGGTCATTCCGATCTTTCCAAATGAGCATCAATTTGATTTGGAGTGCGAGTTGATGAGGCTGACATAGGACGCGCGCGGAGTCGAGGAAGAGGACATGCAAGCTGCCCCGATCCTCTGCTTGAGCTGACTGTCACGTATTGCTCTCGCTCGTCGACACTTGGACCCGCTCGGTCACAAGATTAAATCCATTCCATCGTGCGCTTTGGCCGGTCGCGCCGCTCGAAAAGTCGACTTCACGAGGCTTGATGCAGCTCACATCTTGGAGTAACACCCTACTCTTGTCTGTCACGTTGTCGCTCCGACGAAAGACTACTGCGGTCGGATGGGCGTCGTGAAGGTCTTTGCGATCCGCGTGGCTTCCTCACAGCGACGGTCGATCTTGCAAAGAACCAGCCAACAAACCTGGAATGAAGGTCGTCGATCACCTGCGGTGCATAGTCGACGTTCGTGCTGCAGGAGGCGCCGTACTCGCGTCAGCCATGACTCCGTTTCAGACCAGCGAGTACTATCGCTCTCACTTGTAGTTGCCGCAAACGCAATATGTCGCCTCGTCGTGCGAAGAGTATTCGTAGCTTGCAGTGAAGATTCTGGCGCCAACGACTCTTCGGCATGTTGCGGTCCAATTCCCTTGCTGCTCGTCGAACGGCATCGTGAACGGAGCGTGAGTGACTCCTGCGGACGCAAGAACGCGGTGCTCAGTGCACGGGATCCAACTGCCAGGACGCAAACAAGTCATACGTACTCCAATTGTAGACGGTTGCCACTGCGACTTTGCACGTGAGTGTTAGCAGACCAAGTATTGGCAAGAGCCAGCTTGAGGTGGCGCTGATACACCGCATGTCGAAGGATAGAGAGTCTTTGGTATGCAACTGGGAGTGCATATAGTCAAGAAGCAGATAGCGAACAGGTCAACACTGACGCTTGTCGAAACCTTTCGGTGAGAAAGTCTGAAACTTTGCGCTCTTTCGCGCTGCGACGCATCTCGACGGCCCGACACGTCAGTCAGGCACCCACAGCGCCGCCGCCCAAAGGTTCCACGACGAGTCGACATGCAGGCCTGCGCACTCGCAGCCCGCTCGCAACAGGTTTTGGAGACGCAACAATCAACCTTCACCGCGCGCGGCGGATCTTCATCCGACACAGTGTTGCAACAATCGCTAGAAGCCCGCAGAAGCACGCACTCTGCAGAATGTTGCCCTGGATGATTGTCAACAAGGGAGCACAAAGCTGGCGGGCATCGCAACTTTCTCATTTCCACGTGCACGCTGTTGTGCGGGAGGAATGTTTGATTCGTTGCAAAGTGGACAGTCGAAAGTCAGGTTCGAGCAAAAACGATACGAATGGCTGCAACTAAAACATGTACGCATGCTGAAACAGCGCTCTGCTTAGACTACATGTCAAAGGGCCTATGCACCCGATACGCGCGCTCGCATGCGTATGTGTGCAAGCACCTCCAAACATCCACTCTTGACTCGTGACTCGTGACTCGTGACTCTTTCGCCCGCGCGTCTGTCTGGTCCCATTTCGGATCATCCAGCACGAGACGGTGGGCGTAGGGGCGCAAGTGTCAAATCTTTACTGGCTCCCTGGTCTGGGGCCCTTCTTGGGTCGTGGAGCAGAAATAGGAGCTCGATTGAAGGTCCATTCGGGGTACTTGGGGCGCAAGACGTCGATGACTCTCTGTCCCCAATCAACGTTTGTGCTGCTCGTCATGCAAAAGGTAAGCGAGCGTCAGATTTGGCAGGATACGCCAGGATCTCCCGGCGCGTCAAACTCACTAGTAGTGACCGCAAAGGCAGTACGTAGCCTTGTCGTGGGTAGAGTAATCATATTCTGACCAAAACACTTTGTAGCCCACCAAGCTTGCGCAAGTCACCGTCCAATTGCCTCGCTCTTCCTCGAAACTCATGTAGGGCGGCTCGGTGCGTACCTCTGCAGCAGATGTTGCAGAGGCGTGTCAGATCTGCGAGCGTCTTTTGTTTGGCATTGGAGCACAGCTTGTGACTCACTCCAGAGGTCCACTAAGCCGAATGCTTCATTGCTGAGCACAGCAAGAGCAATCCATGCTGCAGCAACAATCGTGGCCGAGCTGCGAGGCATTGCGAAGAGTGGATGGTGGAGAGGTGGAGCGGCGAACGAGACGGCGCAGAGAGTCGAGTGTGGCACAGACTGGACACGGCCGACGCTCTTTCCAGCTCTGCTTATACCTACGCGCCCTTGACTGCAATCTGCACGACTGCTGAAACGTCCAGCGCCACGAGATTCACGTGAGCGACGCAAGTCAGACGCCATGATCCAACCAAGCCCTCGCGTAGAGGTGGGGACCGCCGCCGTGCCGCTGCATTACGGCGGCAAGGAGACGCGTTTGACGCGCGAGAAATGGTCGCGCGGCGGTGTTGAAACCAGCATCACCTGACCTTTCAAGCTGTACGCCAACCTGCGCAAGCAACTCTTGGCACGAACCCGAGCGTGCCTGACTCGGGGCCAAGCCATCATTTGCTGAAAGCACGTATCCCAAAAAAGAATCTTTTCGGGCCGCTCGATTATGGAGCGTCGTCGTGCAAAGGAGGCGCACTGCAATGCAATGCCCCTACGCGAATTCGCGAGCCCCTACTTCGGGTGCGCGGCACTGGCCTCGAGCGTTTGTCGATGACCGGCTCGCCGTGATTGGCACTGCAAGCAGATCCAAAGCGTGCACTCCCGACACCACTCCACCGTCATTCGATTCGTTTCGGCTGACCCGACCCAACACGTTGCCTGAGCGCCAAGCCTTGGCACAACGCTCTAGCACGAGCTCGAGTTCAATCCCACAACAGTCTTGGGTCGTGCTATGTGGCGCTCCTTGAGCAAACACGCGGGCTTATCACGCTCGCGAAAGGCACATTAAGCGTTCACGCATCACTGTCTCGAAATCGAGGCTGACATTTGTAGTTCATTTCAACTTTCTTTTTCTCGAGCATTCGAAATCGCTCCTTTGGCGGGCAAGGAGGATGGACATACTGGACGCGCGGTGCCTGCGGATCAGGTCGACGCACACCACCTCTCTCAGACAGGAGGCCAATTTTCGAAGCGCCAGTTGAAGGCCCAAGCGGGGTCCTGCGCCGGCAGATTTTCCATCATGGGACCTCCATACTCCGCTCCTCCGCTGAAACGTCATGCAGATCCAGCACCGCGCTGCGTCAGCCCGGGTACGATCCTGTCCAAGATGGGATTTGTTCATCTTCACTCACGGAACGTGGCACCAAGCAGCCTTTCCACCATGAGCTTTTTTGAGATCCCAGTTCGCATGTCCACCTGACACACGATTGCATTCTTTTCCCCAGGCAGTCTTTTGGTCTGCAACCGTCATCCACGACGGCCACTGTTTAGGATGGATGCGGAGGTCTGTCGGCATGCCAGCGAATTAGCCAATGGTAAGGGTAAAGTGGATTCTGACGACTACCGCTCACACTGTTCCTTTTGCGGTCCTCCTCCCCAGACGCTCGAACCGCTATCAGGAGAACGTTTGACCATGCCTGCACCCATGGACACTGCAGGAGGCCACGAGTACCACTTGAAGTTAAAGTCCCAAGCGGGGTCTTGCGCCTTCAGAGCATCCATCATTTGGAGTCCAAAGTCCTTTCCGCCGCTGGTATTTGGGGACGGGCACACCGTCGCGTCAATTCAGATCCGCTTCTAGTCAGAATGCGAACTTCAATTCACAACTCACACAATGTGACACCAGGCTGCCTTTCCGCCGTGAGCCTTCCTGAGGTCCCAATCCGCCTGTCTACCCGAGAGACCGTCACATTGCTTGCCCCAGGCGGCTTTCTGGTCCTCAACAGTCATCCACGAGGGCCACTGTTTGGGGTGCACCCGGACGTCTGATGGGTGCGCGCGGGAGGAAATCAGCCCGTGGTAAAGGTAACTGACTTGTGCTCTAACGACTACCGCTCACACTGTTCCCCTTCCGATTTGCTCTTGCCAAAGTCACTTTTGACCATGCCTGCACCCATTAACGCTGCAGGGGGCCATGCGTACCAGTAATAGTCAAACTTCCATTCGGGACTCTCATTGCCCAGAGCAGCTCCGACGTCGAATCCGTGGTCCGATCCACCGCCGCCCGCTTCATCACTGAAGGTCGGATCAAGCGTGAAAGCGACGCATAAGCCGCAGTGACGTGGGCGAAGGGGGTGTTGCTCGCAACCACCAACTCACGGAATATGGCACCAGCCATCGTGTCCGCCAGCAGAGTTCGGAACGTAGTCCCACTGAGCATCCACGCCTCCAACGCGTCCGCAAGCGTTTCCAAAGGCGACTTTCTGCGCGTCGACGTTGAGAGAGGCTGGGTGATGAAGGACAGTCACACGATTGTCTGGCAAGAGCGATTGGGATATGAGTGAGCCAATGAGGCGGGCAAGTCCCGAGTTTCGGCTTGAACTCACACTTATCTTGCCCTTTGCCGGGATCGCCGCCGTGATCGTGTGCGCCACCGTCGTCGCGTCCAGCGATGGCCGCAAGTGGGGCGCTCAAAAGAGCCCAAAGAATGAGCTTTGACGAGATGTTCATTGCAGTAGTGAGGTCGATAGTGAAGTCGATGTAGATATGATACTTTGCAGTGCTTGCGTGTTCCAAAGGGGGTCCCTCGTAATCCATTAAAGTCCATCTCCTTTTATAAATCTTCTGGGGACACGTAGAGCGCAGAGGGCTTTGACGTGGGACGTCGTCGAGGTTGCAAGAATTCATAGTCAATCTGGCTGCACCATTGCTTTGGCGCAATATTCGGGTAGGGTCCGTGAATGCGGTGGGGCCGACGCATACGATTTACGGGCCGTCGTTGATGACAGTCTGCGCAGTCTCTATCTTGGCGCGCGCTCTTTTCCGCCGTCAATCCACCGCTGCAGGGCTCGAAAACGGAATGGAGACCGTTGAAGCAAGCCCACAACAGACACGCAGTTTCATTCTCGGAATGATCTCGGCGCCGTTGCATGGGTGGCGGCTATAAGAACGCCAAGTGGCCTTTAGCGCAGTCAAGACACTTGCGTTCCTACTTGGCTACGCGATCAAGGTGCCGGATGACCACGCCCCAAAGGGTTCCTGTCGCATGTTCCTCATTCCTCTTTTCGCTTCATGTCTCCGTTCGACGGGTTCTGGCCAGCGTGTTCGCCAACAAAAGCCAATTGCCTAGCTCTCGCACCCGCTCTCAATTCCCTTGGAGAAGATTCAGAGTGTGGGGTTGCATGCTTGGGCGTAGATTGCGCCGAAGAGGCCATCTCTTTGCTACGCGTCCGTCGGACCCTTCCGCATGCCTCTTCCAGCGTAGCAAAGTGCCTGTTCGTAGCTTGCAGCCACGCAGCCTGTCTGCTCCATTCTCCACCCCTGGAGGACGTCTGCGTCGCAGGTGCAGCCGCTTTTTTAGCGAGCTTCTCTAGCGCTACGAGGTGCTCCAAGTCCCACCAGGTGCGTAAAGACTCATTGGGCGCTCTCTTCTTTTGGCCCTCCTCGCATTCCGACGCGCCCTCTACGCCCGCCAAGCCGCAGAGATGGCCCAGCGTCGCGCTGACCAATGCTCTGTCCGAGTACCCGCCCTCCAAGACGCTCAAAAGCCTTCCACCGGCGATATCCCCAGCCAGGGCTTTTGCATCGCCAGCGAAGCGTCGGTAGAATTCGGGCGGTACAGATTTGCCATGACGCTGCATTCCAGGATGCTCATGAGAGCAGGCATCCATTCCGCACGAGACAATGACGAGCGTCCGGTCCGGTTGCGAATCGGTTCGGCGCGCAAAATGACGCGCTTTGTTCAGAAGCACAGAGTACTTTTGCCGATATAATTCCTCGAATTCGCGCTGCGTCGTGTGTTGCTCTAGATGGACTGCGAAATGTCGAGGTGCATACAAAGTCAGCACCTCACGAGACGATGATAACAAAAACTCCAAAAGTCGCTGGCACGCGGCAAGCTCAGTGCAGTCCCGAAAGACCGTGTCTCAAATTGATCCAGCTCTAGAAGATCCTGCAGACCCCAGTCCGCTGGACTTTCCTCAGACCTTTTCCTAACAGTATGAAAAGGCTCGTCTCCGCAGCCCCGAGACATGGGCACATCTCCGAACCACAGATAAATCCTTTCACAACCATCCTAGCTCGCGCGCACGTGCCTCGACTCCCAATGCGCGATGAAACTGGCACGCAACTCACCGTTCCATATCCACTGTCCATGAGCACCCTCTATGCACGTGCTGGCATCCCTGACCAGTTCCGCGTCTCCGTCTTCGCAGGGGTAGCTCTCAATATCGTGCAAAGACCCATAGAACACCTGCAGGTCCCGCTCCTTGCTTAGACGCTCCTCTTCCTTTGCGTTCGCATCCGAGGCGGCAGAGTCTTGAGTAGCGCCTGCACCGGACCGCCGTCCGCCTTTCGGCTTGGCTCGCAGAGACCGCAGCGCAGCTATCCGAGCCTTGCGCTCTCCAGCTCTTCGAGCGGCCTCGGTATTCAGCCGCCAAGCAATCGATTGCGTTCCGTCTGCAGAGAAGCTCGAGCAATCAGGAACCACGCAAATGTCTGCAAGCGCGCACATAAAAGTCGACTCACTGCCATGGTGCAAGTCAATGTCCAGCACAATGATCCTATCCACGGCGTACTTTCTCTGCGCAAGCGATGCCCCCACAAGCACATTGTTGACCCAACAGAAGCCGCTCGGCGTGGCCGATCCGCAGTGATGGCCTGGCGGTCTGACCACCACGAAAGCTGGCGCAAGCGACGCAGAAGCGTTTGAAGTGGCCTTTCCGGCGCCTGCCTGAGCTGCGGTCGGTGCAGCAAAAAGGCCATCCACTGCTCGATCGATGGCTCCCACAGATGCTTCGATCGCAGCTTTGCTGCCTCCGTCCGCGCCATCGACGGCGTCGTGCAGGACGCCTTGGACATCGCTGCCGCCTCTCGCTGGACCACACAGGTACAAATCCCCTTGAGGCCATCCTAGCGGCACCTCGGATTCTCGCTCCGGCAACTGCTCGCTCGAGTCGCTCTTTGGACTTGGTGCCTGGTCTGCACTGCTGGTGTCTTGGCGAGTTTTCTTGGGCGTGTGCAAAGCTGCACGGGGTGGTGATTGAGGTGCTTGGTCGGGCGCCATCAAGCAGAGCCTGTCCAGATAGTGCGCATAAGTCTCGTCTTTACGCGGCTGAGAAGCGATAGGGTACAGAGGCGCTGCCTGGTCCGTGAGTTTGTGGGGAGCGGCGCTGGTTCCGCTGGGCGCAGGCTCATCACTCGTCTTGAGCTCCTCTCTCACTTGCTCTCCCTGCGCTGCGCTCTCGCCCCGTGCAGCCGCAGCAAGCTTTGCCACCATATCCGTTGCGGCCTCCTTGGAGGGGGGTGTCGCATTCTCCTTCTCCGCCTCGACAGGCGCAGATCCTGCCTGCGTATCGTTGCCGCCCTGCGCCTTGGCAGCAGCCTGATCTGCAAGCTCCAAGACGGGCTCTCCGTGTATGTCTGCAAACGCAGGGTGCGAGAGGGGAATCTTGCTGCGTGTAACGTGCACTCGAATGGCGGCGACAGAGGTAGAAGAGGAGGCTGAGAGTGATGCTGTCGAGTCAGACGGATCGACCTTTGCTTCCGCTCGTACATCCAGCGAAGCGAGCGCACTGGACAAGTCCTCCATTCCTGCATCTGTTTTAGCGGGACGGCCTGCTGAGCTGGAGGCGGCATGGCTCGAATCGTCCGCCTTTCGCTGTGCGGCCATGTCCGTGTCACCATCGACGCCAATCGCATCATGGCCGGCCGCGCATCTGGCCAAGAAAGCAGCGATGCCCAAATTTACTGCCCTCACCCTCTCCGGCCTCTCGACGATGAGGGACACATCCTCGCTGCGCACATAGCGGTGCGATTCGATCGCAGGTGGAAGGTATATGTTGATGCATGGCCTGCCTGTATGCGCTTGCGTTGCGGCCCCCTGGTCTGCTACCGCTGGCGAAGCAGCGGGATGTGCGGGAGCAGCGAAGACTGAAGCAGGCCCAGCGGTGCCGTCCAAGCGCAGGCTACCGAGGGACTGGAGCAAGTCATCTTCTGTCGTGCTCTGCGTATGATCGCCTTGCTGGTCAGCAGCCGTCGCGGTTGAAGCTGAGGAGCTTGTAGCTGGCAGTGGCAGTGTGGCTTGGTCTGCGGCTACTCCCTGGCGCTCCTCCTGAGCGGACGACGATGCCAGCTGCGAGGGAGCCTCTGCATTGCCATCCCTCCCCGGCACTCTGTTTGGTATCTTGACCAAGAACACCATCCTTGGCCGAGTCGATCAAGTCGCAGAGATCTGTCAACGCGAGGCGGGACATGCGACGCGCCACGCGCGATGACCTATGACGTTGACGGTAGTGGTGATGATGATGATGATGATGATGATGACGATGATGATGATGATGATGATGATGATGATGATGATGATGGGAATGGAGATGCTGCTCGACCCGCGCGCATGTCATGTGACTTACAAGTCCACCGGTTTCGCCTCGATTTCAAATCTTTCATCTTGAATTCAACTTCTTCACCAAACTGGCTGACAAGCCCGCGCCGCGCCTCTGCTCTCCACGCGACACGATCGCTGATGCGCAAACGCACGCTTTTAGCGCCCTCCCCATGCAGCAGCAACGCCGCTTTGATTTTTTGTGACTTGGCGCATCAGCGCGCGGGGCGGGCGGCAGGTGCGCGACGCGTTATTAAAGCATCATCACGTGCTGAAGCGCCTCGAAGCTCACCCACCATCACGCTGCATGAAACACACACGGGGCAGCCGAACGGACAGGCGAGCACCAATCGTGAAGCACGTGAATGGATGTTCGCGACTCGTCAAGGGGTTACTTGCGTCTCTCATTCGGAACTGCTGCCCTCCATAGACACTCGAAAGTCATATAAAGTGGATGAACGTCATGAATGCAAGGTATTATAGAACATGGTGTAGATGGGTGAGGTACCTGCCGGCTTCAATCAGAATCATGAATTCAAATTCCAAGATTCAAAGTGCACGCACGGGTCACGTCGGTCCCGTCATTCATCACGAATCAAGAATATCCGAACGTTTTATGCGCAACGGATGAAGGAAGAGGAAAATGCGCGATGATTAGCGGGCGAACAGAGGATGGATGAACGAATCCGTCGCGTTCGGTGTCGCGCGCGGTACACAACACAGCTGGACTCGTGACTTTTTTCCCTCGTTAACTTCTTGTTGGGTCTTGGGTCTTGAGTCTACTCGGGCTGACGATCGAGCAAGCATTGGCACGAGAGCGAGTCAGTAGAGTGCAGGTGAGGCGGGAGTCGAGTGCGCATCGAGAATGTGAATGAATGAATGCGCCTGATGCCGTCCCGTCCCAGCGCGCAAGTTCAGTGCGGGCGCACATTTGATTCGCCATCGTGCTTCCTTCCAGCTTGTGCGGAATTCGGGAGACGTTGAGGGAGCTCCGTAGTAGTAGGGCGAGTGGCAGACGAGGCAGACGAGCCTTGCAACAGACTCGAGACTCGAGACTCGAAGCGAATGCAGCTACTGTAGCTGCATGGCCACGCTACATAGTGCCGGCGGGAAGCAAGCAAGCAAGGGCTAGAATGGCTTCCCGTGTCTTGCATCGCTGCTCGCTCCGCACTGTCGAAGATCGCACCCCACAATCGTCGACCGTCAAGTCAAGAAATGTGAGGCGACAAATCGTGTGTTCTGGTGCCTTCAATCTGGACGGACTGCATCTTCGCACACGGCCGATTCAAAGAAGGCAAACGATTCAAAATCGAGGTTTGATGTGCGATTGAAGATTCTTTGCATGCTGCATGAAGTCGCAGAGTGCGTCTACGCGTTGCGTTGTGTGGCTGAAGGTGGAAAGCAGAGGGGACCCTGCCGATCGGGCCGCTTGCTCGCCGAGTTGGAGCGCAATGGATCAACACCTGATTCGATTCAGATTACAATTGCTGCTGCGTGCGAGCTGGGCAGAGCACAAGCCACCGAGGTCTCTCTCTGCAAGCCGGATTCCACCTCCAGCTCAGCCTCCCCGCCCGCCCGCAAGACCATTACGAATCTACAAAGCACAGCACCTGCACGCACACTCGACGCTGAGCATCATCATCATGAAGCGCAGCAGCTTGCAAGCTCCACAGCTTGCATAGAAAGTGTTTCAGATCCCGTGATGCATCGCATCGCAATCCGGTAGTCTGCCTACTCTAGCTCCGACTTGCTGCCCGCGAGCGCGTCTCTCAACGCATGGGTGAGCGAGCCTGCATGCTCCTCGCGTAGCCCTGCAATCAGGAGCAAGCAACGTTCGCGGCACACTTTGACTTCACATCCCATTCGTTGTGCGAGTCTCGTGCAGAGCGGAGGACAAACCTCGTACATGCAGTCATGAGTTATGTGCATGCAACACGCAGACCCCGCCCCGCGTCTCGGGGAGGTGCAGGGCGCAGAAAGCGGGCCAACACGCGTCCCAGATTCGTGATTGACTGCTGAGGTGGTCGGAACTTGGATGAGCATCTCAACCGTGGCCAAGGGTGAACGCTACCGTTCCCATCAGGCTCTCATCATGGATAACTGGCATGCGGGGCCACTCTTCGTCGCTTGAGCTCAGCAGTGGAGAAGCGTGCTTCCAGATTGCAGATCAGGTGCTGCAACGAGCCCCTCTTCCGGTGCCGCTGCCCGCTGACGCCGCCTCCCCGATACAAGGTAGGACCGCGCCCTTGCAGGCGAGGTGTGGCGCAAGACGAGTCAAGCCACACACTTTCCAAGCAACGTGCTCCCAAGTCTTTGTTGATTCCGCAAAACAAGGAGCCTCTGCGTCACCGTCACTGCGTCACCGTCACGCTTTTCAGCACTGCAACGGTCGATTCGTTGAGATGAGTCCTTGTCCCGTGGTTAGTCCTTGGACAGCCAAGAACGCTCGGGGAGCCTTGCAGCGCTCGCCATTGGTCGACGTTCACCTTCACTGGCTTCAATTCGTCTCGCAACTCGGGATGAGTATCGTACAAGGGAAGATCCCCGCCTCGCAAGGTATAAGAGCACGGTCACAACTCGCAGCCCGCTTTTAGCATCCTCTTCGTGATCCTTCTCCTAGCCTCTCATCCATACTCCGCTCCCTCCGCTCACTTTTCATCTGCGCCATGAAGCTCCTTTCTCTCACGACGTCAGTCGGCGTTGCTCTGGCTCTACTTGGCACCGCCTCGGAGGTCATCAGCACTCCCCTCTTTATCCCAACGCGCCAACAACAGGTGGATGGAGCTGCACGAATCATCAGCTCTAACCCTCTTTTGGTGAAGCACTGCAAAGCTTATCTGAAAGCAAACAAGTACCAGGACAAGCTGACGACGGTGACCACGACCACAACAGCCACTGCAACATCCACACCCGCTGCAGCTACGACCACCGCCACCGTCACGGTCACAACGACCAGCACGAGCACCGTCTCCGTGAGCCCAAGCCTCTTCTATCCCAACAATGCACCTCCAGGCGAGACCTACGCTGCCCGCCGTCGCGACCTCGAGCCTCGAGGCGCAAAATTCGTCGTGCCCGTGCCCGCACCCCTCAAACCATGGGCCAGCATCATCTTTGACGCCTGCGTCAAAGCCGTCTATCCGCCACCCCGACCCACGAGCACTGTGACATCCACTGTGACAGGTGAGTAGTCCCGAGGCGAGACGCTTTGCACCTCACGTTGTGCTCACTCGAACACTGCTGCTGGTTGCTTCAGTCTCGACGACGCTGGCCGCTGCAACCGTCACCACGACGACCACGACAACGTCGACCCAGACGGCGACTACGACGACGGTCGTAGGAGCGCTACAATCCGCATCCCCTCCTCCGCCTGCCAAAGCGGGAGACGTCGTCAGCTATTTCCGCGTGGAGGGCATCGATCGCACGATTTACGAAGGCTACGTGAGCACCAGCGGCAAAGATATCACCACACCAAGCGGAGGCACGCACAGATGCGACGGCACCAACAACAATGCCAACCCGTTTCCAAGCGGAACGTTCACTACGCTCATCAACGATGCTCCTCTCGACTTCGACGGAACTTATTCGAATCAATTTTCAGACTTCTTCATCACCTCGATAGGTGGTTTGGCTCAAACTGGCAGCAAGTTTTGGGTGAGTATGAGAGAGCGCGCATGACGAGCGAGAAGACACGCTCACCTTCTATCGCAATGCATCATCGCACCCAGGGCATTCTCCGCAATGGCGTCTTCACCCCCACAGGTGGCTGTCAGGAGCAAGTTTATCCCAACGCCAACGATGAAGCAATGTGGCTGTGAGTTGACTTTGCTCGTCACTGGGAAATGATTGCCCATGCTGATGACTTCAATTCATCACAACGTTCACTCTTTTCATCAGCTACGATGCGTTCGCGGCCAACAAGGTGCTTCTGAGAGCCTCGTTGGTGTCAAGCTCTGCACTCTTCACCGCCGGGCAGGGCTTCGTTGAGGTCCAAGTGACACAGGGAAATCCAAATGGTGGGAATACGTCACCGGCCGGATCGGCTACCATTGGCGGTGTTACAACGAACAGCGACGGACGTGCTTCCATTCCCGTTCCCTCCACGCCCGGTTACTACGCCTTCAAAGCTACTCGCGGCGAGTCAGGCAGGTCAAACTCTGTGCTCATCTACGTCGTCGGAGCTTCCTCTTGAGGATTCAGCAGGCACTTTCGCAGCCCCCACTCACAAGGCTCTTCCGCGCGTCCGCGCGCGAATACCCACGGCGATTCTCTTTTCTCCCTCTTTCTCTGTGCTAATCTACTCGCTGAGAGCAATGACTCCTGCGCAATCTTCGTTCACATGTACCTCCAAACGCGAAATTGCAGCCGACTCAATCGATGCGTCACATTTGTTTTCAGATGCAACCCTTATGCGAGCAGCGTGTATGTACCGCGCACGAAGCCCATCGGATCGTCGAGAGAGAGTGGACTTACAGGGCACAATGGCATGAAGCATGGTATCGCGTAACGGCAGCTCATGAACAACACCACCTGGTCTGACTTGCACCTTTCGCCTGAGCTGCGCGACAGGCCAGGGCACCTTGCAAGCTCAACAGATGAGCGCAGGGTAGGGCGCGGCGGATCTACGCCGCAAGCAAGGCGAGGAGCGCGTTGCCGTTGATCACACTCACGATCGATATGATGTAGTCGGCGCCGTCGCACATCTTCATTTGTACTGCGACGCGGAGTCACTCTGACACTCAAAATGTGAAGAGTACTACTGGTGATGCACGCTGTGCGTATTCCCTGCACGAGTTTTTATCCCTATTCGCCTGCCTGAGAATGAAAAGCTCGTGCCTGCCCTTGAGAATCATGGATGAAGTCTAAGTGCTAGTCTGGCGGCGGCCAGAGGTGTCAATTTCCTGACGTGCCTCTCTCTCTCTCATTTCAATATGCCCAGACTCGGTCTGTAGCGGTACTTGGACCCAGTTTGGCCCGGGGGCGGCCTTCCTCGACGGCCCGGCCCGTCAAACTAACGAAGAGTCGACAGAAGAAAGTGTCATTTGACGCCGACTCGAAGGTCTCAACGAGGCAGCGTGAATCCGAGTGCCTGAGTAAAGTAATTACCAAGGATGACTGTCAGTGTTCGCAACGAATTTGAGAGACAATTCCGCGGAGGCGGTCCGCCGCGCTCCGTGCTACGGTATTGCACGCCGCAATGTCCTCGCATTTCCACCTGAAAGAGACTTGACTCATGCTCAGCCCTTGCAGAAAGACTACAGTGCTGCTGTGCACCTTTGCTGTTCTGCACGAGGCACGAGAAGATTGAAATCATGCTATAAGAAGAAGCTCACGTCAGAGCAGAATTGGCCTCCCGCGCTGATGCATCAAACCACTGTGCCTTGCCAGCGTCTCTTATCCTGTGACCGACAACTCCAACCATCCACGAAAGTGACACAATGGCACGCTACCTTTCAGCCACACTCGTCTTCTTGAGCGTGATAGTCCTCTTTGCTGGCCACACCATGGGCGTCTGGGGTGAGTATCGTGCGGTTTGGCCTCCCTCTAGAGCGATGCAAATGCATCGTACGCAGCTCACTCAACTTTGCTCTGACTCTCACCAAACAGTCATGTTTAACTATCCTAAGCACAAGACTTACGACGAGCTCAGAGACATTTTCAAGCATCAGTGTGTCGATGTAGACGGTGCGGACGCTTGGCAATTTTCGGATGACGAAGTCGGCCTCTATCCAGTGTGGTGCAGCAAGTGAGTCCCTGCCGGCATGCGTGTGACTACTGGCAAACTGTCGAGAATACTAAATGGTCATCTTCGCTTTGGACTTTGGCACGCGTGTCCGTGCGGCATAGAGGTTCGAACGGAATCCTAAAACAGGTGGTCAAAGAACTCGGCGATCCATGGGGTGTCATCTACCAGCAAGACTGAAGCCAGTGAAGCAGGAGCTGGCTCGTAGGTGCTGAGCTGTGCAACACCCAGTGCATGTGAGGACCAATTGGTCATCGAGGGGCTTGCGTCATCTCTGAGCTGCAATCGAAACGCTACCGTGGTATCTCTAGCCGAAGCTACGTGGTGCATGCAAATGCTCTCGCAGTCGCAAATGCGCTGCGCATAAACCATGCGGGTGATGCGCAAAGTGCGGCAATTTTGTGATTCACACCGACGTCGACACCGATGCAGACATAGAGTCACACCTCACGCGAAATGTCCTTGACATTGTTGTTCTCAAAGTCTGAGTGATTGTTGTGTTTTTTTTTTTTCTCAACTTTGCGCGAAATTAAAACATGCTTGTCTGCACCAAGAACGCAATCGGAAGGGAAAGGCTCAGAGGCGGGACTTGCAAGCCACACAGGTTAAGTTGATGGGAATCAGTATCACTTGTCGCGTGTGAATGCTGTCTGGGTAAATACCAGTATGCGCGTGCATAGACCCTCTACGCTCGCTTGCACCGGCTCACGGATGCTGCGCAGTAGCGATCGCTGCTCCGCATTGGATGCGGTCAGCAGCGCCAAAGACGATGTGAAATCAGTGTGTGCGATTGCTTTGTCTCGCCACGGGGCCCTCTACCTCCCTCGCGCTAGAGAAAGGGTTAAAGCACGCTCTCTATTTCCCTCTTCCTGTCTTCCAAGCCTCGAATGCGAGACGACAAGACCACGACAAGATCTACACTCGTCTGAAGATGAACCCTACGGTCCAAGCTACTCGCAAGCGGTCTTGTCCTTGCCGCCTTCCTTGTCAGTCCAGCGCTCGCAACCGCTCATCACAGTGAGTTCTCCTGGTGTAATGCAACGCATTTATGCCCAATCTCGCTAAGCTCGGTGCTCCTCAGAGCTGGGTGGGCTACCCGCACGGTCCTCAATGGACTAAAGACACGCTCAGCGCCGAGTGGATCAAGAGCTGCAGCGGCTTGTTTGATGCCTGAATTACAAATCTATTGGTAACGAGTACGACGGTGTGCCTGAATTACAAATTCATTGGTAAGGAGTACGACGGATACACCGTTCGCTGCGGGACGTGAGTAGAGACGAGATGTTGAGGAGAGAGGAGAGTGTGTGTGATGGCGCAAATGTGTACCCTAAAAGGACTCATTTTGTTCACCTCCGTGCGTGACTGACTACCTCTTTCTGATTGGTCTGCCCCGACTGCTTACAGCGGGATGGGCAACGGTGATTCGCAATGGGCCTCTGCAGCTGCGGCCTGGCTCGGTCCGCCGCGGGAGACTGCGCCAATCAGCTCGTGACCGAGTCTTAGAATGCGAGGCCCGCAATCGCAGTGCAAGGGCGACCTAGCCTCGCGCTTGTGCAAGCCTACATCCCAACTTGCCAGGACTTGTCATCGCGATCGCGATCGACGAACTGAGACATGTTTCTCTTTGTGCTCTTCTTGCTCCTTCTACGTGTGGAGGAGGGAGGCGTGTCTCTGCTTGCTTGCTTGCTTGCGCGCATATGATGCACGTACCGTAGACTTAGACACGGCGTGAGCGGCGCAGACGTGTCATTCATCAGGACAGTCGTGTGGCGCCAAGAGCTTGTCCCTGAGAATAGCACGCCCAGCCAGGGGGGTAGGCATTCAAAGGCATAGGCGTGAGAATGGCAAAGTCGAGTAGACACGGAAGCGATGTGTCATCACAGTCGCACAGCACACCACGTCGCCGCGTAGTAACGCAAAAGGCGCAAGAAAAAAAGAGGGCCGGGGGGGGATGTGGTGAAGCTGGACGAGAGTGCGACTATTTCCACATCAAACCTCGCGCAGTCTGCACAACAAACTTGCAGTTAGACTGCAAGTTTTGAAACTAGCAGTAAAACTGCTAGTTCGACTGTGCAGCCTACCGCCATCACCGCAAACCACTCATATCTATACTTGTTTGAATGCTTTGAATCTCAGCAAACCTCAGTACGGCACAAATTGCCGTGTCAATGTTTCACTCCGCGCATATAGGGTTTGAAACTGCAAATCACATTTCTAATTCCCCCTGCATGCATTGTAATCAAGCCAAGTACAAAAGCTCTTGATGCGCAGGCGTGCAGTAATATGCTGCATTTACACTGCAAGCGCGCCCAGTCAAAAATCTAATCTGCAAGAGCATTTTGTATTTGGCTTGCTTACAATGTGCATGCGCTTGCATGCGCGCGCAATACCGCAAATAGTGCCGTATAAATGCAATTTTTGAAATACAGCTCATTTGGTTGTACAACAAAATTGCGGTACGTCCATATCTGATGTGGTATCCAAAATTGGAATGCACGCGTCTCCAAGTAAATTTTGCCATAAGATGTTGCGTGAGCTGCAGACTACGCGTCCCAAACTTGCACAAAACCTGCAAGTTTTGAAACTTGCAGTTAGACTGCAAGTTTGTTGTGCAGACTGCGCGAGGTTTGATGTGGAAATAGTCGCACTCGCTGGACGATGGCCCGTGCCGACGCCCGACCGGGCCGTTTCATCCGAATGCGAATGCGCAGGGAGAATGTTTCGCAATTTGTCCCAGCTGCTGCCGCAAATGAGCTGCTCCGCGGATCGTGCGGTGAAACAGTGAAAGCAGATATTGCAGCTCGACACGACGACAGCTTGCAATTGCTTTCCGTGATTTGCGAGACTGTGCTCATGGCGTGGCGTGGCGTGGCGTGGCGTGGCGTGGAGCTAGGCTCGTCTGCGCTGAGGGAGTGCATTCAGTCGGACTGCGGCTGCTTACAGAAAACCCGCACAACAGCCAGCCAGCTTGTGTCAGTATCAGAGGGCGCATCACACGAGGGCTCGTGGATCTCTCTCTCTCTCCCTCTCGCCGCTTTTCTTCGCCTGCCTCGTGAGACTTCGCTCTTCCAAAAGCCAAAAGGGCGATCGATGATCGACCTGCACCGCTTGAACAAATCCCTACCAAAAGCCTGCTTGCTGCCTTTTGCAACCTCGCCTCGCGCTCAACCCAACATGCTGTTGCTTCATTCTGCAATCACCACGATGGCCTTCTGGGCAGTGCTGCCCGCAGTCCGAGCAGTACTAGCACCTACAGTCTACCGTGAGTGTTAACTGCCCCCTCCGACCCCTCTCTTGTCCCGCTCACCCTCTCGACGGGAGTTGATGGGGGAACAATCTCGCGCTTTTTTTCCCTTCTTCCTGCCTGCCGCTTTCTCTCCACGTCGCATATCGACATGGAAAGAGGTGCTCAGCACGCCAGACATGTCTCTCGACGACCAAGCCAACAAGTGGAACGAAGAGTGCAAAAAGCAGATCAATGATGACGCTCACGTCTGGACGTACTACAAGAAATTCGCACAGCATCAAGCCATTTGGTGTATCTGCGGAAGCACCGCGTAAGTCTTTTCAATGTCGTCCTTGCCGCCCCGTCGTGCGAGTGGGCTGAAAGCTCCCCAATCGTCTGGGCGTGTTCTA